CAGTAACTTAATATCAAATGATAAAATTAAAAAAAAAATTAATTTAAAAAAAACACATAAAAAAATTCAGTAACTTAATATCAAATGATAAAATTAAGAAAAAAACTTAATTTAAAAAAAACACATAAAAAAAATCCAAGTCAACCTATCCTAACTTAACTAAACTGTTATCTAATATATGAGATTTAGATAACTAAAATAAAAAAACAATGAAACTAAGTGCCCAATAATCAAATGTCAAATGATAAATTTGAAAAAAAAACAATTTTTACTAAACAACTAAAGGAAAAAAACCGAACTTAAATCGAGTCTAAGTCACAAGATGGAGATTACTGAAGACAATCATTATAAATTGACAACGTAAAATTTTCAAATGTAAAACAATTTAAAATCTAAACAATATGGACCAAATATATTATAAAAATAAAATGAAAAAAATAATTAAGGGCCAAAATTGAAAAACAAAATAAATTAAGAAAAGGAAAAAAAGTAATTGAAAGAATGAAGACAAAAAATGGATAAAAAAACTAAATGAAATAAAATGTGGAGGAATAAAATAAAATAAAGATAAATCAAGAAAAAAAAAACAAGGACATAATCGAATTAAAAAAATGTAAAATGTGGAGGAATAAAATAAAATAAAGATAAATCAAGAAAATAATAAGAAAAAAAAAACAAGGACCAGAATCTTATTAAAAAAATAAAAATAAATGCAATAAGATGATAAGGAAAAATTTTGAAAATAAGAATTAATCTAGAAAAGTATTAAAAAAACATTCAAAAATAGGAGGATGAAATTAAATATAAAAATAAAATGCATAGGGATAAAATTAAAAAAGCTAACCTTCAAAAAACATTAAAAATTAAATAGTAACAAAAAAATAAAGATCAAAGCCAATAAAATTACAAATTAAAAAATAATTGTTTTATGAAAAGGCTAATGTAAATTTCAAGAAAGTGAAAAAGAAAAGAAAAAAAATTCAACCTAGCCCAACCAGAGCTTTATTATGTGCACATATTACACTAGTGAAAAAAAGATAACTCGATGCTTCCAACTCCACCATGGATGGAGGATGACTCGATGCTTCCAACTTCATTATGAATTAAGGATTTGAGTAATTGTGTGGCCTCACGTGAGTTATCTAAAAGGTTTAGGGGCTGTCACATACTATGTTAATGATTTTTTTAATAATATTTAATTATTTTAAATTACTAAACAACCCCTAATTAAATAAAAAATAACAAAAAATGAGAATGAAAAGACTAAAATGCCCTTGAAACCAGCCTTAGTTTTTTTGGATTTCAAGGGTATTTCCATAATTTGACTTTTTAAAAAAATGAAGAAGAGAAAGAAGCGTCTCAGTTACTTGAAAAAAAGGACGGAATCTATTGCTGCAAGAATCAATATAATCAGCACATGAAACAATTGATGTTCATGTCTCTTTGAGATGGTCTTGGTACTGTCAAGGACTGTATATCCTCTAGCTGACTTGTGATTCAGAAAAGCATTCTTTATTTTCAAACCTGCGCAAAGGAAAAATTAAGATGAAATATGACCATCTAGTTGCTTCACTTGATTTCCCCCCTTTTTTAATAAATTATTACAGAAAAGTAAGGAATTCTGACACCATGATTCACAGGAGAACATCATGTCATCAGAACTGGAGTTGTAAACGGATCAAAACCTCAATAACTCAAGTTTAAGTTATTTAAGTTTTCCCCTCCCTCATTTACTTGAGTTGAGAACCCTTATTTTGCCTTCGGCGGCCTCTTATCAAAATCATCATCTATTCTACTTCTGCAAGCTCGACACCAGTCTGACGTTCCAATACGAACCCTCTCGCGCGCAGAAACCAGGAAAAAAACTGTTGCAATAGCACTCATATTCAGCCAATCTTAAGCTGACCCCACAATGGATCATTATCTGATTTGTGCTCTCATTATACTTTTGCAGAAAACTGCTTTCAAATTAAGGTGCAAAGGAATTTCTAACTGAGGGGGGATTAATAGATCCAGGATCATAACATTTACGAAAACATTGTGGAAGTGTAAGCGGAGGGATGCGGCTATTCTGGAGTCACTATGCAAAGCCTTCTGGACAACATTTCTGACAGTCAAGGATGGATTTGGGCATGATTTATCATAGTGGATGTAATCATCAAACTGGCCAGTAACAGAAGGAGGAGTGACTAGATGAAGAGTAAAGAAAAGAAACGAAGGAATGGAATGCTGAAGACCCGATACATCAAATTAATATTTGCTCAAGTATGTGAACAATAACGATGATGAGCTCGAATGAGGGCCTTAATTGCGTGGTGGTTTATGTGTAAAACAACATAATCGTAGATGAGTCGATTAGTTTGGCTGATTAGTTTAGCTTGTGATAGAGAATGTTTGTAAATGCAGGTTAATTCGTGTTTTTGAAAAATTATTTTTTTATTAAAAATTTATTTATTTATATATTTTATATCGTTTTGATATGTTAATTTTAAAAATAAATTTTTTAAAAATAAAAAAATTATTTTAATATATTTCAATATAAAAATACTTTAAATAATAGAAAACTATCACATAACTGTCTAAGATGATCAAGAGTACTGTCAAAATGACGGTCGTACCTCTTAAGTCATAAGTGTTATATTTTAATATATTTATTAGCTAACCGGTTGTTGTACACATAATATTATTTTATTTATATAAATATATATTTATTATTAATAAAATTTTAATTTATCTTTAATATTTATATAATATTATATTAATAAATCTGATATTTGATTTATAAATCTAAAGTAAAAATAAAATTCATGAAACAAAAAAGATTTGTAAAAAAAATTATAAATTTATAATGATAAGATTACTGTTACATCAAAATATTGTTCATAAGATATTTTTAGTCGATGTTCTGTTAAATACTTGATATTTATTAGAGCTATAGAAACTGATACATATTATGTTCTTTTCTTTATGAAAAAAAAAGTACTTGTTTTTGTAAGTTGATGTATAAGAGATATCTAGAACCAATATGTAAATATTTATTATAAGACAAGTACACTAAATTGACCTGCATGAGAATTTCATATAAAAAGATCACTTATGTCTATAAAAAAACACATGTGACAGTTGTGTAAATGATTTTTAGACTTGAGATCACTAAATTTAGACTTGAGATCACTAACTTATTTTATATAAAAAATATTATATTTTAATCTGTTACATGTTATCTTCATTGAGGTAACATAGGAGCAGACATCGGATATAATATAAACTATATGAAAGTAATTAAATAATCAAGAGATAATTCATCATTCTAGATAAATTAAGAAAAATATTTAATTTGTTCTTAAATGTTATTAACTGAGAAATACTTGACTAAGGTGGAATGTGATTTGAAAAGAGTTTCAAATCTTATTTAAATTATCAATGATTATTATGTAGAGAATAAACATAATTTAACATAATAGACACATTCCATGCTTTAATGTTAAATCAGAACATTATAGATGAAATGATATTAATTACACTAAGAAATCAATCAATTATAGTTAAGTCAAACCATTAATGACTTTTGTAACATTTAGAGGATCATGACATATTATGAGATGATGCGTCTGATTTTAAATCTAAATTAATCAATTATTGAATTGATAATAAATTAAATTAAATAATTTAATTAATTATAATCATAATTTATATTTAGGTCAGCATGGTAGGAACCTAATGGGTTATGTATATTAAGAACAATTAGTAAAAAATTAAACTGAAATGATTTAATTAAATATGATTTGATTAAAATATATTTTAGAAATTGAGTAAAATTTAATAAATATATGAATTATATTTCTAGACTTAGAAAAATTAAGTAACGACTTGATTGAATTAATTTATAAAATTATTATGAATTAATATATTAATATTATTAATAAGAAAATTGATATTTTGCTAATTTACAAGGTTTTTCATATTTTTCTATAACTAATAAACTATACCTCTTATTTTTAAATGATTGTCCATTAGAAAAAAAAAAGAAACTAAGTAAATCACTGAATAAAAATATACCACTTTAGATATAATAATCTCTCTCTCTTAATTAGAGATTTAGGAGATTTTTCATTGTTTATTTGTGCAGATTATTATTGGAGGTCGGATAATTAAACGCTTTCTAGTTTGTGATAACATAACTTTTAAAAAATTATTTAAAGTAGAAAAAAATTAAATCTTTAATTAATAAATTTCATAACAACTCTAAAATTATCTAATAGAATCTGAAAAACTTCTAAATATTTTTATTTTATTATGTTGATTGTGAGTATAATATTCAAACACTCAATACTAAACTTGTAAAATCATGAGCCAACCTTACTTGTCGTGCATGAAATTAAGTATATCTATGGATTACATTAATCAACGCCAAATGAGTTGAAAATTAATTATTTGGAACCTCCCACCATCCATTAAGCTTACTAACCAAGCAAATATCAGATTCGTGACATCAGAAAATACATTCCATGCCATATTTCAGAACGGAATTATAAATTATTGTTTGTTAAAGCACCAGGGAAGGAAATGTGGCTCGTATAAACCTTGCTTGAAAAACCTTTACATAAATTGAAGTCACCATTGGGAAATTTTCTTGAAACACCACTGAGACACTGGCACTTCTTTACCATATGATTTGCCAAGGGAAGTAAAATAAGTCCAGAAAACCCTTCACTGGTTTCAACGGATATATCTTCAATGTCATGCGCACTTTATAGTTGGTTACTTGTAATTTTTAAGCTCCAGGAATGACATTTCCAATCGATTCATGTCCTCGTGTGACATAAATGTGAGAAAACAGAGCATTGGCAGAATGTCCATGTTTGCAGGCTACACAAAGACGATTAAATCTCCTCACAGCTCTGGGAAAATAATTTGCCTTGTCACTGAATTGTGTTCCAGTTGAAATCTAGATCAGAGTTAACCAAGTTACATCTGGGTAAAGAGAGAACCAAACACAATTCAAATCATTACTTAAACACTTGTTTTTATTAAAAGACTGGCATGTCTATCACATATGCATCCACTAGGTGAGCACCACATTTTGAGCCCCAAAGAAACTAGGTACAGAAGTGCCATGATTAACAGACTCACATCACATATATTTAGTTAACAGACCCACATTGCTTTCTAATTTGCCCATTGCTGCCTGTAAGTATCCCAATATTGCTCATCTTTACCATTGATGATGCAAAATCAGCTGAGAAAAGATACGAATTTGAGCTGTAGGCAGTAACCATTGCAGCAGTCTTGGAATCCCCCATGAGAGCTTGATCAGATTCAAGAAGGGCAGTTCTGTTCACGAGGTTCACATAATAAGCATTGTCAAATCGGTATGTGCTTACAGAGTCAAGAGGGGCTAGTTTGCTGTTTGATGCATCCTTATTTGGGCACATGCCCTGTAAGTTTGCCACGGCCGAAGAATCAAGTGTGGGGTCAGGCTTGCCGGTGCCTTTGAAGTCGAAGAGCCTCCTCTTGAAGGCGAAGCACTGAGCAAAACCTATGGTGTGTGCCCCTGAAATAGACAAAAAATAAATTAATTGTTTGTGCCAAAGATATTAGAAATTAGTTTAAAAAAGCCTTCAGATCTGTTCCTTGGGTTTGTGATGTCGCCAAAAATTTGGTCGTCAAAAACCTGAGCTTAGGCTTAATACATGTATAGATTGCAAGCATAAATATGGCGACAATACGTGGTCATCTAAAAGGATTAGAGTCACAGATTTCGTTTCCGATTTGAGCTCTATGGTTTGAGCAAGAACTCCACTCTATTGACTAGCTTAAAATAGAGAGAGAGAGAGAGATAACCAGAGAAAGCGAAGATGACAAGAACCTGAGAGGACTACAACATCCTTAATGTCAAGACCCTTTGATGTGAACTTAGCAGTGATGTTCTCTAGTGGTTCAAATGGTGATGGCAATTGTTCATTTGCTGCCTTCTCACTTGCAGTCAATCCATCTAGCCCGCCCAATGAAAGAGGATAATAAGGCCCTCCTGACTGAAACAGGTGAATGAAGTAAACACATAAATCAGAAATTTAGAGCAAATAGAAAATGCTATGCAATGAATGAATATGACCATTGTTAATACCAGGAGGACAGATTCTCTTGCTGCAAGAGCCAGTATATCAACACATGAAACAGTTGATGGGCAAGCCTTTTCAACATCTGCTTTGATGCTTTCAATGACTTCATATCCTCTAGCTGAATTGCGGTTGGGAAGAGCATTCTTCTCTCCCCTGAAATCAATTGTGTCGTCCAGAAGTATGGAAGCATCGCAGCCCTGTGTTACACACGAAATACCATAACTTAAACTCAAAACAAAGAAGTTTACGTGTTGTGGGAGTGGAGTAACAGACTGAATTCTAAATTTTCCGCTACAGAAAAAAGGCATGCACCCACAGACAGGAAACTCAATAACACCAAGCTCATAGATCTTCTGGTTAGACAAATTAAACCTTGTTAAAACACTCGCATCCCATGTTTTGATTTTTTAATCGTTTTTGGTTTAATTCGAGGAAAGTAGCAGGGGATAACATCCGATAAAAGAACCCAACTAGTATGCAGAGCACAGCTGACCGGTGGGCACCCAAATCTATTTAGTGGGCTCTCTTATTCAACGTTGAACAAGGAATTTGAACCTTCTGGGCCCAAAGGACCAAAACATTGGATCTCTCCCATGTTGTTTAAAAACTGTCCTTTGCATGGGACCTAGCCTTTTCAACAACATCTGCTTTGGAAAAACAGACCACCCAGCAAAAGAGAAATGTGGTTTGAGTAAAAGAGAAATAGCTTTACGTTTACAAAGCAGTCGTGGAAATGCAATCGGAGGAGGGATGCGGCTATTCTGGTGTCATTCTTGAAAGCAGCCCAGACACCATACTTGACAATCATTCCCAAACTAGGGCATGACCTATCATAGTAATTATAGTTGTAATTGTAATCAATCTGACCATTAGCAGAAGGGAAAGAAGTGACTAAGTGAAGCAAAGACAGGCAAAGAAGAACTAGAATGAAGTATGAGAAGCGTGTGATAGCCATTAGCATGTGAGTCTGAAGAAGTTTGTGCGATGCTGATTGTGATGACCTATAATGGGGGGGACCTTGTGTTGATTTATATGGAAAACGGAGGAGAGTCGAAGAATTTAAAAAACAATAAAGGTAATTGATAGAGGTGGAGGAAAAAAGTAATAATAAAAAACATTACAATGATATATTTTAAAAAAAATCATTCTCTCATAGTAGAAGATGACGGCAATGATAAAAAAAAAATCAGCACCCACCATTCTTCACTATTGTTAAGCAAATATTGATTATTTGGATCACAGAAAAAGCAGGTAAATATTACATTAAAGAGAGAACATACTCTCCCTCCATTATTATCTGAGAGTATAATCATTCACCGAACATTACTTAAAAAACCTTCGACAACTGACGGAGGCCGCTTAGCCTATGAACTTGGACAATTATATTTAAGCACTTTGTTAGGATCTGATTTGCCATGGGCACTGCACAAGCTGGACCACTACTTGGCGGCTCAGAAACAGCATACATCGCCATACGCATGCTCATATAATTCCAGAGAATGACCTAATCATGCACTTGCATGCAGATATGTTTCATAGAAGAAAAGAAACTGTTCTGTCATGTTCATTTGAGTTGTGTTCCAGTTAATAGCACTATCAAACTGAACTTGTTCTAATAATCAGCAAATACAGAATCCATTATCGACAAGAATGCTTGTTTTATCTTCGCTAAAAACCAGAGATGTTCTGTGTTATTAATTGGGAAGCCATTGATTTTTCTTCATGTCTTATTTGTCACAAAACTATTTTAACACTGATTTTAAAAATTAATTTATATTATTTTCTAATATATCTTTTCAAATGAAAATTTTTTAACTTAAAATTTATATAATTTCACACTATTTTATATTTAATTTTTATTAAATAAATAAAAATTATGAAATTTAAATTTACAATTGTTTGATTATTAAGATTCTAACATTATATTAAAAATCTAGTCTCAATTTGATAATTTAAATTATTAAATACAATTTCATTTTCAGAATATAATTTATATTTTATATTTGACGGTATAGTTTTTCTGGCGGAAAGGTGAGAATTAAAGAAAGAATTAAGCATCCCAAAGCATTCATCTATACACGTGCATCTTTTGAAGAAAAAAATATCTAATTAAATTGTGACTAGGATCTCATATTGAGAAAGGACTTGACAATGAGTTCAAGGCCAAGTCAACTTGTAAAGAGATAAGATACCAAAGAAACTACTATACTCTGTATATCAAGTCAGTAATTTAGGGGAGAAAGTGCAAGCGACCACTTGGTGGAAGCAAGATTAAGATATGGACACCAGCACTTTCGAAAGTGTATGACATTGTTTATATATATATATCAGTCATGAAACCAGCACTTTTATCTACCACTTTCATTGCATATTTCTTGACAATCTCCTTCATGACAAGACGATGGTGTACAGGAACAAGAAAACGAATTCCATTGGATGAAGATGGACAGGGAGGTTTTATTCTAGGGAGCTAGCTTGTGTTTGGAAAGATGCATTATCGTCCGTGTTTGTATGGGTTTGTGCTTACAAAGACTTGCATATAACGATCGATGGATATGATTTTTCATTTTAAAGTTTAGATTAATAGGTTATAAATTGATCTTATATATTTTTTTTTTCCCATTTCTTCTTTAATGTGGGATTTTAAACTATCACATATGTACTCGACAAATCTCCTCCCTCGTATGTAAGTTTGATACATATACTTAAACACAATCCCTCTCCTGCGGAAGTATTTGACGATTCGAGTGCGATAGTACCCAAAGCTTTCTTTTACCTAACCATGGAGAAGCAAGCACAACCATAGGAGTCTAAGCATAATCGCCACTTGTTTCAAGCCGAACCATCTGCTCTCTTATTACTTTGTTTGGAAGTTGTTTGTGTTCGAGAAGAATGCATGGGTCTTTGTGCTTGCATGCACCGAGCAAGCCCGTTTCAGGACTTACATATAACGATAAAAACCATTTCAAACTTAAAAATTATGAATGCGATCGGAATTTATAGATGCACTCTTGCCACTCGGTTATATCTTATATTAATTTTGTTTATGTAAATATATTTAATTATTAATAAAAATTTATTTAATATTCATTAAATATTTAATAATAAATCTAAAATAAAAATAAATAAAATTATTATAATTATAAGATTTCTATTATATCAAACCATTGTTCCTAATTATTCCTAACCAATGGCTATTAAGAATGAACATTAATTAGAATTGTTGAAATTGATATATATTATATTTTTTTTATAAAATAAAATAGTTATTTTCATGAGATGAGGTATAAAAAAATATCTAAAACTAATATATAGATGTCTGTCGGATAATATATATACTGAACTGATCTATATTAAAATTTCATATAGAAAGATCATATGTATTTATGCAAATGCTCATATAATTATTGTGTAATTTTATATTTAAAAATACTAGGTTATCTTATACATAAATTTTTATATTTCAATACTATTACCATATGCTATCCTAATCAAGAATAATAAATAAGAAGATATTAGGTATAACATGAATATTATAAAGCTATTTTAGTAATTAACAAATGATTCATGATCCTGGATAATTAGAGAAAATATTTAATATATTTTTAAAATAATATTGATTATAAATCCTTGAATAAGATGGAATAAAATATGAAAAGAATTTTAAATTTTATTTAAATAATTAATAATTATAATATTAAGAACAAATATAATTTAACAAAATAAACATACTGTATGTTATAATATTTAAAACAGATTATTATTAATAAAAAAATAATCATTACACTAAAAAATTAAGTTAAATAACTACATGCTGCAGCGACATCAATGGTTGCTTCGACGGTGGGTAATGTACTAATAACAACCAATGAAAAAGAAGAAATGAGGTGCGGAATTGTAATTCTGTCCTTGGAGCCTTCCTTAGGGTTGTTAGGGTATAACAACAATTATACTCCTAAACTAAAACCTAATTACATGGGTTACGTTTTAAATTTGCCCTTATACTTATTGTAATAGGGTTTTAGAATGTAAATTATAACTTTACCATGCAACTTATATCTAATTACATCCGGGTATTCCCTATATATATAAAATGTTGATTTTATATTGAAATTAAAATTTAAATTAAATTAATTATAAAATTAATTTTTCTAATAGAATTAGGATTGAATTAAAACTTTTAATTCATTTTTTTTGAGTTTTGTAATATCCTAATAGGATTAGCATTTAAATAATAAGTTTATATAAATAATATTTAGAAAAATATTTTTTTCTAAAATAAAGAGAGTTTGTAAGCCAATGTTTTTAATTTAATTGATCCTAAAATAGTTTCAGATATTAATAAGGTTTTTAATATGATTAAATTTCTTATTAAATTTTGAAAATTGTTTTCAAAGAAATCTTGTGCTATGATGTTTGTGAAATTATCAAATTGGATTTGATTTAATATTTCTAAATGTTAGAAATATTAATTTAAAAAATATCTATAAAACCAATAATTAGAATTAAAACATGCAATGTGTTTATTTATGCATATTAATGTGTTATTATGCATGATGGACATTAAAACATTAAAGATCAATGTGATTGTATTTTTTATGGTTGAATATTTTAATATTAAATAGGATTTGTATATCCTACCTCTTTTTTAATGTAACTTGAAGTCTCTTATACAATTATATAAATGTTATGTAATTTAAAAATATATGAAATTCAAGATGAAAAAAGAATAGTAAAAAAAGCTACAACAATGGTGCTCGCAAGTAGCTTATGAAGATTTGCAATAATTACATAGGTTTCTACCATCTAATCCCCTTCAATGACCCAAGAGAATTAATTTAGATACATCTATAATCATCTAATTATAATAGCATGCTAGAGGTGTATGTTCATATATAATTATTATATATGATATATCATTAATGTCATGAAATAAGACCTAATTAAAATAATAAATCCCTCATTAATATATTAATATTAAGTACATGATTTGTTGCCTTTTGATTTTATATGCATAAAACCAAAGTTCTATTTATTGGGAACTTGTTGGGTTTCCTAAGGTTATCATTAATCAAATATATTTAATGCTATAAAACTAGGTCCTATTTATGTCAGTTTTTTTTATCCGAATTTTGTATCCATGATCAGAAATTTAGGAGCAATGTCGTAAGGACACCCCACCTATATTAAGCTCAAAACATAAATATCATAAAATAAATTATATAAAGATTTGGCAACGTTTCAATGTCATTCAAAATTTATATTCTTCAAAATCAATAACACTTTAAAATTTCTCATCATCAAATAAAGCTAAACAAATAATGTAATATACTTATTATATTTATCAAAATCCAAACTTAATTAAAATAATATAATAGTAGAACATTTAAGACATCTAATTAAAAAAACTAAAAGGAAAGCCTCGTGGAACAAGTAAATTATACTATCCAAATTTGAAGAAGCAAGAATACTCAACAAAGGTCACCTGTTAATAGAAACTAAAAACCTAAAATAATATTAAAAAAGAGGGATAAATTCAACTAGCTTTGTAAAAGAAAAAATTTAATATATATCTTAAATATTAATAGTTTGCAAGCTGATATTTCTTAATATAAATATACATATTAAGCATCTTAACATAAAGTAATGGATTACATGTCAGAGATCAAATGACACCTGAAAATGACCATAATGGAAGGATCAATCACTACAGGTCAGTACCTTACTCACTGACATGATCAAAAGATTGATGTCTTCTCCCAAGAGCAGGAGTGTCGAAGTAATAAATAACCTAACAAGACCGGAGTCGAACCACATGAAAGTTAATTGTATAAATTATAGATAACAATAATACAATAATAACAATAATAATAACAATAGTAACAACAATAATAGTAGTAGTAGTAGTAGTAATAAAAAAAGAAGAAGAAGTTGATGAGAACTTTGAGATGAAAGATTAATGTAAGGATTAAACAATAATAACAAAAAATGTTAAGGTTAGAGGATCCACTAA